CCTGAGCTGTCTATTTAGAAAGGAATGTGTCCTTGTGCACATCGTCCCTTTCCCAGGCCCTGTTGTACGACCTTCCTGAAATGGTACTTAATCATTTTTTACAAGGAGGGTATATTCCTAATGTGTGCTGAGAGAACCACTTTGCTAGAAATCAGAAATCAGAGCTGCCGGAAGTTGTTCGGTGTGGCTACTCTTTGGTGTGACGCCCCCGCTCCCTGCTTAACTATAATTCCACTTTAACAGAAATGCCTGATTTAAAGAACGGGAGTGTCAGAAACAGAAACTTGAAGTGGCCGTGAATTCCGGCCCTTGCAACTTTCCATAAACCTCTTTAGATATTCTCTGGGTGCTCCGTCCCCCAACAGAAGTTACTCTGCAATGTTAATTTATAGATCATCTAGTGGCCTCCTGACTCTTGGCAATTTCATTTTGATAAATGTCATTTAAAAACTCATTTATTCAACAAACGTGTGATGCTCTCCTGTACCAGGTACCTAGTTCTGTACTCAGTATTCCATGGCCAACAATACACACCTGCACCCTGCCCTTGAGAAATCATATCATCCACGTGCAGTAGGTCCAAAGGCGCATGGCAGGTACTAACAGAGTCCTCGGGTGGGGAGGAGCACGCAAAATGCCTTGAAAGAACTGCTGGAGAGAGTGACATCTAGGTTGTCATCTTAAGGTTGGGTCAGATTTTAATCACAAAATGACCTTCAACCTGACCCATTCCCCCAAACAGGCATTTACTGAGCTCAACGTTCTTCATCTATCTGCGTTTCCCTCTGAGACATGAGGCTTTTCTAAATAGTTCACTAAATGAGGAAGCCAATAGAAGGGACTCAAATTGGCTTACTCAGATTGGTTAATGAAAAGTATTTGATTGTCCATCAACAGAATATACATTCTTCTCAGCACTGCATAGCATTTATTCTAAAACTGACCAAATAATTGGAAGTGAAACACTCCTCAGCAAATGCAAAAACAAAAACAAAACAACAAAACAAAACAAAAAAAACTGAAATCATAACAAACAGTCTCTCAGACCACAGTGCAATCATATTAGAACTGAGGATTAAGAAACTCACTCACAACCACAAAACTACATGGAAACTGAACAACCTGCTCCTGAATGACTACTGGGTAAATAATGAAATTAAGGCAGAAATAAAGAAGTTATTTGAAACCAATGAGAACAAAGACAAAGTGTACCAGAATCTCTGGGACACAGCTAAAGCAGTGTTTAGAGGGAAATTTATAACACTAAATGCCCACATCAGAAAGCAAGAAAGATCTAAAATTGACACCCTAACATCACAATTAAAAGAACTAGAGAAACAAGAGCAAACAAATTCAAAAGCTAGCAGAAGACAAAAAATAACTAAGATCAGAGCAGAACTGAAGGACATAGAGACATGAAAAACCCTTCAAAAAAATCAGTGACTTCAGGGGCTGGTTTTTTGAAAAGACTAACAAACTAGATAGATCACTAGTCAGACTAATAAAGAAGAAAATAGAGAAGAATTAAATAGACACAATAAAAAACGATAAAGGGGAAGTCACCACTGATCCCACAGAAATACAAACTTCCATCAGAGAATACTATAAACACCTCTATGCAAATAAACCAGAAAATCTAGACGAAATGGATAAATTCCTGGATACGTACACCCTCCCAAGACTAAACTAGGAAGAAGTCAAATCCCTGAATAGACCAATAACAAGTTCTGAAATTGAGGCAGTAATTAATAGCCTACCAACCAAAAAAAGCCCAGGACCAGACGGATTCACAGCCGAATTCTACCAGAGGTACAAAGAGGAGCTGGTACAATTCCTTGGGAAACTATTCCAAAGAATACAAAAAGAGGGACTCCTCCCTAACTCATTTTATGAGGACAGCATCATTCTAATACCAAAACCTGGCAGAGATACAACAAAAAAAGAAAATTTCAGGCCACTATCCCTGATGAACATCTATGTGAAAATTCTCAATAAAATACTGGCAAACCGAATCCAGCAGCACACCAAAAAGCTTATCCAGCATGATCAAGTCAGCTTCATCCCTGGGATGCAAGGCTAGTTCAACATATGCAAATCAATAAACGTAATCCATCACATAAACAGAGCCAATGACAAAAACCACATAATTATCTCAATAGATGCAGAAAAGGCCTTCAATAAAATTCAGCACCCTTCATGCTAAAAACACTCAATAAACTAGAGCTATTTATGACAAACCTATAGCCAATATTATACTGAATGGGCAAAAGCTGGAAGCATTCCCTTTGAAAACCAGCACAGAACAAGTATGCCCTCTCTCAGCACTACTATTCGACATAGTATTAGAAGTTCTGACCAGGGCAATCAGGCAAGAGAAAGAAATAAAGGGTATTCAAATAGGAAAAGAGGAAGTCAAATTGTCTCTGTTTGCAGATGACATGATTGTATATTTAGAAAACCCCATTATCTCAGCCAAAAAACTCCTTAAACTGATAAGCAACTTCAGCAAATTCTCAGGATACAAAATCAATGTGAAAAACCACAAGCATTTCTATACACCAATAATAGACAGACAGCCAAATCATGAGTGAACTCCAATTCAAAATTGCTACAAAGAGAGTAAAATCCCTAGGAATCCAACTTACAAGGGATGTGAAGGACCTCTTCAAGGAGAACTACAAATCACTACTCAAGGAAATAAGGGAGGACACACACAAATGGAAAAACATTCCATGCTCATGGATAGGAAGAATCAATATTGTGAAAATAGCCATACTGCCCAAAGTAATTTATAGATTCACTGCTATTCCCATCAAGCTACCATTGACTTTCTTCACAGAATTAAAAAAAAACTACTTTAAATTTCATATGGAACCAAAAACAAGCCCATATAGCCAAGACAATCCTAAGCAAAAAGAACAAAGATCATGCTACCAGACTTCAAACTATACTACAAGGCTATGGTAACCAAAACAACATGGTACTGGCACCAAAACAGATATATAGACCAATGGAACAGAACAGAGGCCTTAGAAATAACACCACACATCTACAACCACCTGATCTTTGATAAACTTGACAAAAGCAAGGAATGGGGAAAGGATTCCCTATTTAATAAACGATGTTGGGAAAACTGACTAGCCATATGCAGAAAACTGAAACTGGACCCCTTCCTTACACCTTACACAGAAATTAACTCAAGATAGATTAAAGACTTAAACTTAAGACCTAAAACCATAAAAGCCCTAGAAGAAAACCTAAGCAATACCATTCAGGACATAGGCATGGGCAAAGACTCCATGACTAAAACACCAAAAGCAATTGCAACAAAAGCCAAAATTGACAAGTGGGATCTAATTAAACTAAAGAGCTTCTGCACAGCAAAAGAAACTATCATCAGAGTGAACAGGCAACTTAGAGAATGGGAGAAAATTTTTGTAATCTATCCATCTGACAGAGGTCTAATATCCAGAATCTACAAGGAACTTAAATTTACAAGAAGAAAACAAACAACCCCATCTGAAAGTGGGCAAAGGATATGAACAGACACTTCTCAAAAGAAGACATTTATGCGGCCAACAAACATAAGAAGCTCATCATCGCTGGTCATTAGAGAAATACAAATCAAAATCACAATGAGATATCATCTCACACCAGTTAGAAGGGCAATCATTAAAATGTCAGGAAACAACAGATGCTGGAGAGGATGTGGAGAAATAAGAACGCTTTTACGCTGTTGGTGGGAGTGTAAATTAGTTCAGCCATTGTGGAAACAGTATGGCAATTCCTCAAGGATCTAGAACCAGAAATTCCATTTGACCCAGCAATCCCATTACTGGGTATACACCCAAACTATTATAAATCATTCTACTACAAAGACACATGCACACGCTTATTTATTGCAGCACTATTTACAATAGCAAAGACTTGGAACCAACCCAAATGCCCATCAATGATAGGCTGGATAAAGAAAATGTGGCACAGATACACCAAGGAATACTATGCAGCCATAAAAAAAATGAGTTCATGTCCTTTACAAGGACATGGATGAAGTTGGAAACCATCATTCTTAGCAAACACAGGAACAGAAAACCAAACACCGCATGTTCTCACTCATAAGTGGTAGTTGAACAATGAGAACACATGAACACAGGGAGGGGAACATCACCCATTGAGGCCTGTCAGCGGGTGGGGGGCAAGGGGAGGGATAGCGTTAGAAGAAATACCTAATGCATTCAGGGCTTAAAACCTAGATGATGGGCTGATGGGTGTAGCAAACCATCATGGCACACGTTATACCTATGTAACAAACCTGCACGTTCTGCACATGTATCCCAGAACTGAAAGTGTAGTAAAAAAAAAAAGTTTTAAAAAATATTTGATTGTCAAAGGATTCTAACTCTGAATGTCATTTATTACCCCAAAGAGTAGGACAAATTACCTTCTCGGTGCTGTCATTTTCTTCATTTTTTAAAGAGTTCATGGTTGGGAGGCCGAGACGGGCGGATCACGAGGTCAGGAGATCGAGACCATCCTGGCTAACACGGTGAAACCCCGTCTCTACTAAAAAATACAAAAAACTAGCCAGGCGAGGTGGCGGGCGCCTGTAGTCCCAGCTACTCGGGAGGCTGAGGCAGGAGAATGGCGTGAACCCGGGAGGCGGAGCTTGCTGTGAGCCGAGATCCGGCCACTGCACTCCAGCCTGGATGACAGAGCGAGACTCCGTCTCAAAAAAAAAAGAAAAAAAAAAAAAAAAAGAGTTCATGGGGTTGTCCTTACAGTAATGAGTTTGTTGTAATGTTTTAGGGGAAATAATTAGCCCTTTTAGGACATTAGACACCCTAATGGTGACATTCCATCTCTGGGGAACATTCTATATGCTCCAGAAAAGGGATCTTATTAAGTCAAGTGTGTTAAAGACACATTCAAAGTCACTGTCATAGGAGCTCATTATTTCTGAAGGAAATGTAAGCAGCAATTTCAGAGTTGAGTCTGCAATTATTTAAAAAAAAAAAAAAAAAGCCCAAAGACCGTCAGTTCCTCTGACATAGCCACTCTATAATTCATTTTTGAATTCAAAATATGCATTATAAAGTACTAAACCCAAAAATGTTAAAAACAAACAAAGAAACACCACCACCACCACATTGGAGAGTAAGCCAACGGCCCCTGCGGAACAGCGAGTCACTGTTTCTCCCACCCTCCATACTTCAGAATGCACATGGGCTAAGTTCATGCTCATTCATTAATATCCTTGACTGTGGTCACAGTTTTTTTCTTTCTCAGCATCATTCTTTGAAGCATAAATGACTTAGTTACCACGAACCAATGATGAGTTTTTCAAGTGGAAAAGACAAACACTTGGGCCCCATTTTACACAAATGACCATAAAAACGGAAAACCATGAAAATGTTGAATTAACATCCCCAGTAACAGCCGGGGAGCTCGGTAGAACGATTCAGTGACGTAGATTTGGCCACACCCTGGATCAAATCATGCCCCCAGAAGAAATACAGAAAAAATGTAGATGGTTGTCTTCTGACTGAACCCCAAGATTTCAGTAATAATCCACTCAAAAATATTTATGAGGCAAAAATCCATCTGGCAGTCAACAACTGAAGTCAACATGTTCTTATTAATAACACAAATAGTTGCATGTGGTGTTTCCACTTGTGCAGTCTTCCTAAATCAGCTTAACTGGAACTGGAGAGCCTCAACTTTGGAAGGCTCTTCTGGAACAGGTACGGCTTCCTGGGCAGCTCTGCTGAAGGGAGATCATAAGCTCACAGCAGCTGACAGTCTGGCACCGACTTCGTCTGGCATTTGCTGAGCCCCTGTAGTGCACCTCTCATCGAAGGCTTTGGGAACTCTGAGGGAGCTGCTGCATCCTCATCTTTCACACGCGGGGGGGACTCATGTTCAGAGGTTAGGAGGTGGAGGGGGCATGTAAGCCCAGGTCTGTCTCACTTTGAAGCCTGCGCTCCTGACCACCTGTGTAGCTGTTTCTCCAGGAGGTTGTTTGTTAGACTGGGTGGCAGTGAGTCTCTTCCTCTGCAGGTCCTGATACCAATCCCTCCTCTTGCTGACCGCTCTTCAGACTTGTGACAGCAGCCACCATTCTGTGAATTCTCCTCTTCTCCAGGCTAAATGTTCCCAGGCCTTCCAAGATTCCTCAGACACCAGAAAGAGCCAGTCCCTCCATCATCCTGGTTGCCTGAACACACAGTGGTGAAGGGGAGACAGTGTGGGGCACGGTCATTGTCTTGATTCAAATGGAGTTTACCGAAAACAAATAAAAAGTTTTCCTTTGACGTGCTGTGCTCCATACTTGCACTGCTTGTTTTGTGAACTTAAACCAAGAACTCACATTTTGTCTTTAATAAATTGAATGCTGACAGACTGAGCACAATGTTCTAATTTATCTCAGTATTTTCTAAAATTCAATTTTGTTACTCAGTGTATCTTCCACACTTTTGGCTCTGTTGTCTATGCAGCATTGCCTAGAAGAAAGAGCATAGTTTTAAGGTCATATTAACTTGGATTTAAATTTTGGATGTGACACTTACAAGCTGTGCAACCTTGGGCAACCGTGGTAGGGAACCCTGAGATCTTCTTGTAATACATGGAGTGTTGTTTAGATGTAAGCTGTTCTCGAATGAGAGGGATCCCACACCCCCTGGGGTTGGCCCTAGGAGTCTGAAGGAGGAGCTACAGTGGGACTGTAATTTAGGAAGCAAAACTTAAGCAACTTGAGTCACCTGTGCAGAGAGTGAATGCATGCCTGGAACACACGGTTCCGTACAGACCACAGAAAAAGGAAGCCAGAAGCTATCTATTTCAGGGAGAGAAACACTGTATCCTAGACAACAGAACCTTCTGGAACAGGCCTCACTGTGGCCTGAATCAAATAGCCCTCACCCCAATAGAGCTGTCATCCTCGGCTCCTACTGACTTCAGCAGGGATAGCACCATGTTCAAGAGGCCCAAGAAGAGACCCAGAACCAGCAAATGAGGCGCAGGGTTTGTTGGGGGAACTTACATTCAGGGACGGTCCAGTGGCAGCAGGTGGGACGGGGAACCATTACCTCTCATAAAAGGCATGCAGTTTATGTAGCATTTTCACTTAGCACCCGGCCCCAGCAACCTGCCACAGGGTGGGCCAGGGGCTCGGATGTTCCTCATGGATAGGAAATGAACCTCCTGGTTGGCCACTCCTGGACTGCTTAGCTCAGAACTCTGAACAGACATTCTTCTTAGACCATGGAGTCATTCTCAGGGCGTGTTGAGTTATCGTTGTCAGGTGCATCTGCCATACACGGGCCACCAATCAGGCAGGTGTGAGAGCGGAGCAGCACACTGGCCTCTCAGGAGTGCTGAAGGGGGTCGTGAGCATCTGATCACTGGAAACAAACGTCCCCCAGTGGACACAATAACTGGCGCCTGGTGCACACACCGCATCTTGTATGTTTAACTGCACGCATACCCCTGACTCACACCACTCTGGAACAGGGACAGGGGTCTCCACACTCACCCCTGTGGGGCCTGCTGAGGGCACATTCTGCCTTCCTGTGTTGACATCCTGATCTCACCTTCATCTCCTTTTTGACCTGCAACTCACTGCCATTTTCTAATCTGTAACAAAGGAGCACAACAACCTCTGTGTAGCTTCATCACAATGAGCGAGTCAACAACGAGCCTACGGCGACTGTCCTGGTGCCTGCAACATCTCGGGCTCTCATCCCCACTGCCCCGCACACCCACCTCCCACTGCCACAAAACTCTCACCCAAACTGAAAAGGAACGAGCTGAGGGTCTCAGAGGGCACCATTCCAGTCCCCTTCCCGATGACAACAGCCCTCTACCATGGTCCTGTGAACAGTCTTTTCAGGCCGTCATTAACCCCCCGTCTGCATTATTCCCTGGCCTGCATGGTTCTCAAGGGCACCAGGCTGAAGTCCCGATGAAGAGCATCTACACATTTCTCTGATTTTTCTAGCAAGCCTATCAAAAGTAAAAACTGGTTTAGATCGGCATGACTTTTTTTCAATTTAAAGTGTATTTGCAAAACATCTCATTAAAAATCCATTATAGAATCTTTCCAGGATGAATGTCAACTCATAGTGTATGTAGAGTATGGCTGAAAAAATCCTTTTTCTCCCTCTTTGAAAATTAGATCCATGTTTTTAAAAATCTGGCCTTTTCAGCCCTTTCTTATTTTCTGTGACCTTTCTCCAAAAATTCGTATCGGTTCAGTTATCTCAACTAGATATTCCAGCCTCTGACTCCTCAGGCTGAAATCTGTCAGTCAGGAGATTTTAACTGTTTTAGAGCAGCTACGAACTCTACTAGAATCTCCTTAAAACTCCTTTTTTAATGATAAAGGAAAAAAGATAAAGCCCCTAATATTCCATATTCCCACCAGATTTAACCACTGTTAATTGTAATTAACAGTGAGGTTTTGATCCTGGCAGCCTTTAATTGTAGTGCCTGTCCCCTGACGTGTCTGCAGATGGCTGCCTTGGTGCCTTTCTTCCCACCCGCATGACTGCTGTGGTACCCCAGGCTGAGCTTCCTTAGAACTCCCCCAGCACCGCTCCACTGCCTTCCAGCACTGAGTGCTGCTGCAGGGACACTGGAGATCAGATTTATTGATTGATTGATTGCCCTTGTAGATGTTTTGGGTTTTCTGCCTGGTGTCTTGAGAATTTGTTCTTTTGTTCTTTATTATTTTATTTATTTATTTGTTTAGAGAGGGAGTCTCACTCTGTTGCCCAGGCTGGAGTACAATGGTGTGATCTTGACTCACTGCAACCCCCGCCTTCCAGGTTCAAGTGATTCTCCTGCCTCAGCCTCCCGAGTAGCTGAGATTACAGGCATGAGCCACCATGTCCAGCTACTTTTTGTATTTTTGGTAGAGACAGGGTTTCACCATGTTGGCCAGGCTGGTCTTGAACTTCCGGCCTCAAGAGATCCACCTGCCTCAGCCTCCCAAAGTGCTGGGATTACAGGCATGAGCCACCGCGCCCAGCTGAGAATTTGTTCTTTATCCTCGAAATTCAATAGCTTAACTCTTGCTTGAGCCTTCTGATTCAAAATTTCCTGAACTATGGCATGTTCTTTTGATACAAAGATGCTGTTCTTCTTCCTTTTCAGGAAAATTCTCTTGTGCTGTATCTCTGAATGGCTCCTCGGTTCCATCTGTGAGTTCTCTGTCTCTACCCCATGTGGATTGTCTTTGTCACCAGTCTCGGTTATGTCGTCATTCTAGTTTAATTTTCTTGTCTTTTTCACTGGCTTTCTCTAGGATCACGCCTGACCTCTCCACGTTGCGGGCAGTTCAGTTTCCATCAGTGTCTAGTTCTGTCCCTTGCTTTTCTGTTTGTTAATTAACAGTGAGGTTTGGATCCCCAGTTTGTTGCCTATGTCTGCAGTCTCTCTTTTTCTTACTGTGTATATTGTTTTCACTTTTGACTATTTTGTTGACTTCCTATTCTTATTAAATGATTTTTTTCGGAGTGAAGCAATGGTGAGGAATTTACTTCTGCTTCTCCAGTTATGTTTTCTCTCGAGTTAATTTTTGGTCTCTTCCTTCACTCCACTCCCCTTCTTTTTTCTTGTTTGCCGAAATGAGTTTGCAGGGCTGATCTGCCAGTCCTTCCTGTCTAATTCACATCTGCAACCTGACAGTGTGAGTGGCTTCCTAACTCTCCTCCAGGTGCCTGTTCCTTCTGAACTAGATGGCCAGGCTTTTAGGTATTTTGTGTTCTTTCCAGTTGAGGGAATGGGAAGGTAGGAAGCACTCAGCGGATATGGTGCATAGCTTTCTAAGAATCCCCGAGCTCTCCTTCCTCTTCTGAGATTCTGCGAAATCTCTACTAATCACTTTACTGACATAAAATTTCATTTTTTCTTATTTATGTTTTTTCTATACTTTTTAGTCTAAAAATGTTTCTGCTTAACATAAATGACAGATTCAAGTTAGAAGATAACCAGTATAACTTTATATTTGTTTTCTATTAGTATCCTGCTCCCAGCCGCAAGCAGTAGACTTCTCTCTTTATTGTCCTTTGTATGGCATGATCACTTGTATTTATAGCCATAGTTTTAGATTTTGCCATTTGATCCATTCTTACAACTTCACATCACTTTCATGTATGCACAGCCCTTTAAAATCTCACTTCACCGGACAGCGTCTTGCATAGTTCTGTTTAGTTCTTCAGATACGCTCTCCTTTTTATCCTCAATAATAGAAATTGCAATTGCAGCAGGAACCATGTGTCTTGATATTTTTATACCACTTTGTAATATCTCATCTTTTAGTATCTCAGGTAATGCATGCTGCCTTTCTAACATCTAGGGCAGAAGTGAAAGCAGGAACTTAAACAGTTACTTGTACCCCCATGTTCATAGATAGCAGCACTATTCACAACAGCCAAGAAGTGGAAGTAACTCAACTGTCCAACCGATGACTAGATGAACAAAATGTGGTATATACCTACAGTGGAGTCGTGTTCAGCTTTAGAAAGGAAGGAAATTATGACATAGGCAACAACACTGTTGGACCTTGAAGACATTATACGAAATAATGTCATTATACTAAATAAGCAAGTCACAAAAGAACAAACATTGTATGATTCCTCTGATAGGAGGCTCCTAGAGTAGTCAAAAGAGAAAGGAAGTAGAATGCAGTCATAGATACATATGTATATGTATTAAATGCAGTGGGTGCATGGAATGTAGTAGAAAGTGGTCATCGAGAAAGGAGAACAGCGGTTTCCAGAGGCTGGGAGGTGGGGGAATGGAGAGTTACTGTTTAATGAGCGGAGCGTCTGTTTTGTAAGATGAAAAGAGTTCTGGAGATGGATGGTGACGATGGCTGCACAACAATGTAAATGTACTTAACGCCAGTGAACTGTACACTTAAAAAACGATTAAAGTGGGCCTGGCGCAATGGCTCACACCTGTAATCCCAGCACTTTGGGAGGCCGAGGTGGGTGGATCACCTGAGGTCAGGAGTTCAAGACTAGCCTGGCCAACATTGTGAAACCCTGTCTCTACTAAAAGAAATACAAAACCTAGCCAGGCATGGTGGAGCACGCGTGTAACCCCACCTACCAGGGAGGCTGAGGCAGGAGAATCGCTGGAACCCAGGAGGCAGAGGCTGCAGTAAGCCGAGATTGCGCCACTGCACTCCAGCCTGGGTGACAGAGCAAGACTCCGTCTCAAAAAAAAAAAAGGAAAGAAGAAAACTTCAGCGCAGCCCAGTGAGTGCTCAGGGTGGACACTGCCCAGTGAGTGCTCAGGGTGGACACTGCCCAGTGAGTGCTCAGGGTGGACACTGCCTGTGGGCAACTGGGGGCAGCTGCTCTCTTCAGCTCGGGAACTTCCCCAGGCCCAGTGCTGCTCTGATCTGGGCTGGGGCATCTGCGCGGAGCTCTGGCTGGTTCTGGTCGGTGGACCACACTTTGAGTGTCCGGGGTCTAGGCTCTGCGTTCAGCTTCTTTGCTCCCTGGACTTCCCTGGGGCCCGTAGCTTGCCCTGTTCCTGCACTCTCCCTCCTAGCCAGCCCTGCTCTGTGGATGACTCAGTTGGACAGACTTTCCGGCTGTGGTTTTATTTTCTCCCCGAAGATGCTATCTGTTAATCACTTCCCTGAGCAACATGCTGTGGCCATGAGCAAGCAGTGGCCACCTCTGTCCTGCCCGGGGTCCCGCCCCTCCTCCCACCTCCACACTTGTCTGGGAGGGGCAGTGCCAGGGCAGGTGTTCACACAGGTACCATGGGATCACGCACAACAGGCGCCTGGCCAGCCCGAAGGGCCTATGTCTGCTTCCTGGAGGAGGTGCTCTCCTGCCTAAGTGCCACACTGGGTCAGTGCCAGCCTGGGAAAGAACAGAGACAGCCCCAGGAGCAGAGTCAGAGGGACAGGAGGTGGCACGCACTGTGGAGTGCCTGTTGCACTGTGTGCAGGCAGGATGCAAAGGGGACAGCGTGGGTGGGGACGGTGTTGGTGTAGAAATGGCGGGGAGGTCAGACTGTAGGCACAGAGGGCCTCGGCCGTCTCGAGAGCCCAGACTTCCTCCCTGAGGTGATGGCACTTGGGGAAGTCGGTCATGGAAGCATTTTAAGAAAGATGTGAAAGGGGCAGGCTTCTATTTTCAGAAAACCATTCTGGGGCCAGTGGAAGATGGAGTACACAGGACCACACTCGGGGGAGGGAGATTGCAGGGGTCTGGGCTTGGTGGCAGGGAGACGTGGAGAGAACGGCCTGGGATGTATGAACACGGCAAGTCTCCCCTCCTGGACAGTGGGGATTTGCCTGTGGTGGGCAGAAGGTGAGATCATCCTTTGAAAAATGCCACTTCATAGCGTTTCCCAAGCTGTGGGCCTTCACTCATCGGAGGGTCAAATAATCAAAGTATTAGGTTGCAACCAGCATTCCATTTACGTGAAATAGAATCAGCCAGGAAATCTCAAAGTACACCACAAGCAATAAGGGTGAGTACTGCTTTTTGTTTTACGTTCACATAAACATACGTTGAGAAGTCTGCAAGCCTCTGCATTCAGGGTCATGCTGCCGCTGATGGAGCCGAGCACGGAGAAGACGCCCTGTGGGCGGCTGTGGCAACCACCTGCCCTCCAGCCCCCGCGAGGTGATGCGTGCACCGGACTTCTGTACACACAGGAGAGGAGCGTCCAGGCAAGCATGGAGTCACTGCTCAGGATGCAGACACCCAGAGGGTCAGGGAGATGGTAGCAATTGTGTGTGTGTATGTATGTGTGTGTCAGAGCTGTGCTTTTTAGAGGAAAACAATGAAGGACACACACAGGAGACAGTGACCAACACAGTAGAAAGTAAGGCGGTCAGAGCAGAGGCCAACGCCGTGACAGCAGCAGAGACCTCTCACTGAAAACATCCTGTCCTAATTTCTGCACCCAGAAAACCTGCCAAAGCCACTCAGATATTTCCAAGCTCCCGGGAGTTGCCTAGAGAGCGAGAGCAGCCCTGTGCGCCCGTGATCCCTACCCGGGCATCTGCGGAAGGCACGGGAGCCACCCACAACCCGCCTCGGCAGTGCAGCCCCAGGAACCGGAGGGAACACCCCATGCAGGGGGAGGCTCTGCCCCATGCCGGCACTCTCTGGCTGGACACCTCCAGCAGGTTGCGTCACTCCTCTGAGCCATGGGTTCTCATCTCTAATTGGGGTAATTATAAACGGGTTGTTGTGAAAGAGTGTTGCAAACACTGCAAAGCACAATAGCCTTGGAGTTATTATTATTATTAATCCTAATAACAGCCTTGCCAGGCAGGCAGGCAGGGCACATAGTCATTCGCATTTTAAAACAAGGAGAGAGACTCAGCGATATTGGAGTGATTCATTTGGTGTCACAAGCTGCCTGGGGAGTAGCAAACCAGACGCCCGGTCTTCCCAGCCACAGCCTGGTGCTGTTATCCCCGTAACACAACCGGGAGAAGAGAATGTAGAGACCTTCAGTGGGTTATTTCTGGTTGATAATTTAAATGCAACCAAAAGCTATGATGATTAGATCTTTTCTTCTATCCAAAACCTCGATAAGATTTGGAGCAATGTGCTCAGCTTCCTTCCGTGATGGTTTTCCCATTGAAATTAGATAGCCACGTTCTACTATAGGTTCCTACAGCACAGTGCCCGGGGAAGAGCAAAGAGGAAACTGAAGATAATACACAGACGAGTCTGCTCCTGGTGGATAGCATCACGCGCTGCTATTAACTTTGTCAACTTCTTTTTCGGAGATATTTCTAAGTCCTTGGACCAAGTGATACCATAATTTTATATATATACATATTTTTATAATATAATATGTATACAAATTATATTTATGTTATATATTTTAAAAATTCTTATTTTTATATATTATATTTATATATATTTACTTATACTTGAATTTTGCTCCAGCTCCTGCAGAGTGAAAAAGACCTATGTTTTATGAAATCCCTTTCTAGCTGGGTGCAGTAGGGGCAGTCATTTATCTGGGCATAATGTCGGGTACACAGTAGGTACTCAATAATATTTATTGACTAAATACATAAAATGAGTAACTTAGTACAGCTGGGTCTCGTTAGCTTTATATTTATTTGTTTATGAGACGGGGACTTGCTTTGTCACGCAGGCTGGAGGGCAGTGCCATGATCAGAGCTCACTGCAGCCTTGACCTCCTGGGCTCAAGCGATCCTCCCGCCTCAGCTTCCCAAGTCACTAGGACTACGGGTGCACGCTGCCACGCCTGGCTGATTCTTTTAAAATTCCTTTTGTGGAGATAGAATCTTACTATGTTGGGATATGGATATGAAGCTGGAAGTCATAAGGTCTAGATTCTATCAGTGGCCTCCTACTAGCTGTAAAATCCCCGTTTCCTCATTGAAACTCTGTGGGCTTCTGGTTGTTTGTCTATAAATGAAAGGGTTGGACCGGGTCAGGGACAGCCAGTAGGGTTCCACTCAAATGCCAGCTGCAGTCAGTTGGCACGGCTGGTGGAGGAGGACTCTGGACTGCGGTCAGCCTCCACGGACGAGACCCCGAGGGAATAATACTGTCCACCTGAGCACTGGCCCCGGGGGCGGAGGTTACACTCTAGACACCTGCATTGATGGACTGAGTCACCTCTAAGTCCTTTCATTTTTTGAACCTACAACCAAGAATGGTTCTTGGATCAGGCGAAACTTAATTTTAGAATGAACTTGGGTAGCTCTGTGCAATTTCTGTGTTTTATGTCAGAAGGCTTTTTTCCTATAATCCTGGGACACAAGAAATGAGGAATTAAAGAACTATATGTTGGGTGCAACCAACATTAGTTTATGGGTTGAGAAATAAATCTCTCTGGAAGTTCTCCTAGCATCTCTACGAAGTTACTTAGTGCAATATTATTTCTCCCATTTTGTAGAGAGAGGATCTGAGTCATAACAGGTAGAATTGTCTGCCTTAGGTCATTTGTAGGGCTAGACATATAATTTAGGTTACTTACCTCGCTTGTGTTTTCTTTCCCAGCAAAAGGAGCCACAGCTCATCCAGTGTGTTTCTGAGGTCAGCCTTCACGCCTCGCCATGTCCGTTCTCCCCACTCTCCCTGTGGGCCTCCATCCTGGCCGTGGTCGTAGATGTGCTGTCACTGACAAACATTCCCGGTTAACCTGGCCCCCAGGAGGGGCTTAGTTTAGTCCATGTCACCACCCCATGACTCTCACCCCATTGAAACTCCCTTCCATTTAGAAGCATTAGCTGATCTAACCCAGCAACCTCCTAACTATATGTTCCTTCATGCAGTCATCCTGGTGAAACAGGCAACTTGTGAGCAAATGTCTATTAAACGGGCTAAGTTCCATTTCCCCATTTTACATGTCAAACTGATGTTGTGGTCCCTGGGGAGTGATTTGTCACCCAGAACAGTCACCTCTAAAATGTGCAAATGCTGGTCAGGTGCAGTGGCTCACGCCTGTAATCCCAGCATTCTGAGAGGCCAAGGTGGGTGGATTGCATGAGGCCAGGAGTTTGAGACCAGTCAGGACAACATGGTGAAACCCCATCTCTACTAAAAATACAAAAATCAGCTGGGCGTGGTGGCGCACACCTGTAACCCCAGCCATTGTGAGAAAGGAAGCCAGCTGGACTTCCTGGGTCAAGTGGGGACTTGGAGAACTTTCCTCTTACAAGAGAATTGTAAAATGCACCAGTCAGCACTCTGTAGCTAGAAAGAGGTTTGTAAAATGCACCAATAAGCACTCTGCAAAAACGCACCAATCAGTGCTCTGTAGCTAGCAAGAGGTTTGTAAAATGCACCAATCAGTAGTCTTTAAAATGGACCTGTCAGCACTCTGTAAAATGGACCAATCAGTGGGATTCTAAAAGTAGCCAATCACAGGAGAGGATTGGGAAAAGGGCATTCTGATAGGACAGAAACAGGACATGGGTGGGGACAAATAAGGGAATAAAAGCTGGCTACCCTCCCCGCCCGCCGCCCCCCGCCCCGTCCCCGCCTACCAGCGGCTGCAAGCTGCTCAGGTCACCTTTCACAGTGTGGGAGGTTTGTTGTTTTGCTCTTCACAATAACTGTTGCTCCAGCCGGCTGTTTGCTTCCGTGCCATCTTTAAGAGCTGTGATACTCACCGTGAAGGTGCATGGCTCCATTCTTGAAGTCAGTGAGACCAGCAACCCCCACAAACCCACCGGAAGGAACCAACTCTGGACCCAACTGGAGAGGCTGAGGCACGAGAATCACGTGAACCCAGGAGGCAGAGGTTGCGGTGAGCTGAGACTGTGCCCCTGTACTCCAGCGTGGGTGACACAGCAATACACTGTCTCCAAAAAAAAAAAAAAAAAAAAAAGCGGGGGGCAAAGGCCCGTAGCTAACATCCCTAGAAGCTGCAATGCCACACAAAGGAAAGAATGCAGGCCCGGAGTTGGAGCTGGACTTCAGTCGTGTTTTTGCTGTTTATTGGCTGTATGACTTGATTTCCGTATGAGTAAAATGGGTACAATAAGGATGGATGGAAAAATGACAGAATGTTCAGAAAGTGGCTGTTATAATGCGTGTGCTGTTACAGGGAGCCAGAAACTATTTGTTTTCTCCTCCATTAAAAAATCATGCCACAAAACATAAACGTCACAATGTCATACACCAAAACTTCCCAAGGTTGAAAATACTGAAGCACTCATGATTTGTGCATGTGTGTGTGTAAGTTGCTTGCCATTACACAGAGGCCTCCAGAGTCCTTCAGAGCTGGTCAAGAAACTGGGTGACATGGTCCAGAGGGAACTGCCACTGAGGACAAGCCTTCTTAAAAAACCACCCTAAATCCAAATCAGTATGTTAAACAAGAGGTAAACAGGGTTAAGCCAGGAGTGGTGCTGGAAATTCTTTTAATTCGTTAAACGCTCCACTTAGATGCAATTAATGGAAAGCAGGAAATGTTGCAGCATGAACACGAAGACAGAGACGGTCCTGCTCTTGCCTGGTACGGCCACTTGAGCCCAGTGCAGAGAGAAGTTCTGAAGAGCCTGGCGGCCTTTCTGCTGAGCGCCTGTCTGTCCTGGGGCAGGGATGAGGGCCAGCTGTCCTAGCAGCAGGTCTAGGTGGCCTGAGCCGTGTGACCCCTGGGATGAGGGGGTGAATATGGCAACCCAGGGCCCGTGTCTGAGGACTGGTAATAGGAGCACAGCTCCTGGAGGCTGAGGTCAAGCCGCTGTGAGGGTGGATGGAAAGAATCCAGACCTTGATGAGGACAGTGGTCCAGGCCAGGCTGCACCCCGACTCATGGTCACCTTGTCGCTCTGCTGTTTCTTCCCCTGTAACAGGAAGGCTCGGATTAGGTGGACTTCAAGAATGCTCTGCACAAAGATTCTGTGGGGTTTCCATAGCCCCCAACTTTCCCAGTGACCAAGTTTTGTAGAGAGAATCAGCGGTTGTCTGTGTCCCTGCCAGTGGCCTCTGCCCTCATTTTTGCAGGGGAGTCCGGATCTGTTTTACTTTAGCCCTCATCCGACAGGGCAACAGCAGGTTCATCTCATCAGTTAGAACATGCCGTGTCCTGAACTCTCCTGTGAGCGTGATGTGGGCAGGCGGGGTGGTCACAAAAGTAATTTTGGTGCAAAAGTAATTGCAGTTTTTGCCATCAAAAGTAATGGCAAAAGTCTGAATTAAGTAAGTGCATCAACCTAATACCTCTTTTGAAGATGAAAAACTGAGGCTTGGAGTTTTTCCAATGATACATGCTTTGCATTTAATGAGTTCTCAATAACAGTTGACCTTCTAACTGAAAGAAATGGAACTCTGTAGGTGAACAGACAAAAATCACGTCTTCGTGGAATGTATTGGAGGAGTTGAAGAAAGGCCACCATGAATGATCATGCCTGCTAGACTGCTGTAGGCAGCTGCAGTCACAGCTTTAGGTTGGCATTCTCTGGAGAGCAACTTGATATGTGTATCAAGAGCCTTAACCCTTTGACTTGGTAATTCCACTTCTGAATCTACCATAGCAAATAATGGAACTTCTGACAGATTTCACAGAAAGCTCACTGCGGTAGCATTATTTTCTAGGGTACATCAGCGGGTCCCGTCAGCAGGACCCTCTGCCCTGAGTCCTGAGAAGTCCAAAAGGCCCAAGCGCCCCAGTGCCCTGGTCTTTGCCTGCAACCCCGGGGAGAAGGGGACTCACAGTGACACCAGACAGACCCTGGACCCCGGAGGAGGGAGCTCTAGGGCCTCAGTGGCCTTGCTGCCTCGACTACCCCCAGCAATAGACAAATTTCAGGAAGAGAATGTTTTCACTCATGAGATGAATCTGCTGCTGCCCTGTCAGATGAGGGCTAAAATAGAAATAAGTGTGATAAGAAAAGGAAAGTTATATTTCTCACTTTCCTAAGCTGTAGGCTGCAATTCACATTGCTACACTTGAGAGATGTTACACGGAAAAAGAAAAGCCTGAGAACTTAATGTGATATGAGTTCAATGTGTAAACAACATACACATACATACTTAGAACAAAGACTGGAAGAAAACTCATTTTTTCATTCAACATATATTCGTTCCACATGTACCAGAATGTTGCCTGCAATTATCACTGGTGGCAGGATTATGTGAGACTTATTGTTATCTTTTCTTATCTTTATCTTTTTAATATTTTCTAAACTGAAGATATATTACTTACGTAATTACAAAAAAACAAATCATTTAAACATTTTAGTAATGTTAGTCTTTTCTCAGCTATATGTGGTTGATTTCTTAAACTCATATAAAATGTGTTTTATGTGAGACAGAAGGTATCTTATTTTTCTCAAATATTGTCAAGTAGAAAACTTACATAAAGCAAGACCAAATGCCAGAGGTTTCAAACTTCTAATCGCATTTGTAGTAAGTATTGGGGCTAATGGCTGCTGAAAGTGATAATTACATTATTTCAAATACGCTGTTATTCCTTTGTTGACATAGTTCATTACAGCCTGAAAGTTGGTATCCCTCCAGAATTCGTATTTCAAATTCAAATTTCGTAAACCCGAAAGTTATGGTATGACGAGGTGAAGCTTCTGGAAGGTAATTAGGTCATGGGCTCTGCCCCGCAGGTGAGTTTAACTCCCTTTAAAAAGGGCTTGAGGAAGTGAATTTACTCTTCCATTTCTTCTGCCATGTGAGGACACAGTGAGAAGGTAGGTGCCGTATTGGAAGGAGAGAGCAGCCCTCACTAAACACCACCCTGCGAGCACCTTGATGTTAGACTTCCCAGCCTCCAGAACTGTGGGAAATACATTTCTCTTCCTTATAAATTACCCAGTCTGAGGCATTCTCGTTATAGCAGCCCAAACAGACTAAGACATGGATCAGTAATGGCTGATTTTTTCTAGCAGCAGTGCTTCAGCTGAAAAAGAAACTTACTTCAGTCGCTTGAGTTTGAATCACAGTGTTTTCATTTACAACCATGAGATCTGTCACCTCATCTCATGTTTATCAATCAGGCTTAGTTTGCTCACTGGTCACATAAGAAAAAAATAACAATGTAAATTACTAGGCAAATTCTTGTTTTCTCTACCTCTTCTATTCAAAATCTCCACTAAGATTATATTATACATATGCTTCTATAATATATCCATAAGGTCCAGGAAAATGTGGACACTTTATAGGTTGTAAATATTTACATTATTATTATTTGTGCTTATTGAGTGAGCAAAAGCAAAAGTTTCATTAGGATTCTAACATAGACCTAGCAGGGCTTCAGGGATGGCCAAGAAAACGAAGGAGAAGTGGGACGTCGACTTCTCAGCTCAGACGTGCATCACTTGTGACCTGCCATAAAGGGCAGCTATCTAAGAGATGTGTGCCTCCCGGGCCCAAACGATGCCATGAAGAGGTTAAAATGTCATTTATTCCTTCGGCGAGAATTTAGTGCATCCTCTGTGGAAGGCATATGGAACGATGGGGACAAGGAGTTGAACTCTAGCTGGTCTCTGCTCTCAGCCAGCTTCAGGATCAGTGGGAAAACTAGTGGGGCAACCCGGGTGACTCCCTGCGTGTTCTGTCGCCTGACGGTGGGAACACAGCAGAGGCGTCCGCCCGGGCTGTGCTCCAAATGATTAGTGAACTATTGTGCCACCATGTATTTGGTGTTTAAATGCCGTTATAATAACTAAATTATGATACGTACCTAAATTTGTTTCTGAATTTCATATTGTGATCTGTCGTGCGTCATCTGTTTCATTACGGCAGCTGTATGTCATAAAATAGTATTCTTCATTAAAATATCGGCTTGAATATTCTCATATTTACTAGTGCAGTTACAATTTAAATCTAGGATCACATTACAAAATCATTCATCCCATTGGACTTTTTATTGGAACCACATTAAAAATGTATAGGTTAACTGGGAAAGTTTCTCTTTGCAAAATCAAACTTTTTCTCCTAGGAAGGCGGAATATGTCCACCGTTCAAGTCTTCTTAAGGTTGACCAAGGTAGACATGACTTTTTATAATCTAGTGGGAAGACTGACAGTACAAACTAATTTTAATAAAGTGCAATGTGCTGATAGGGGAAGTGTTAAACTGTCTATTGGACTTCAAAGATCACCAAATCACTTGTATAATCACAAACATATCACTAAACACACGCATGCTCATACACACAATGATAACATACTCAGGTCACACATGCACACACATTCACATGCTCACACTCATGCTCACATGTGCAGACACACACTCATGTTCACACACGCTCACACATGCACACATTCTCACGCAGTCAAGCTCATACACATATATACACACATGCTCATTCATGCACACACGAGGTCACTCGTGCTCACACACATGCTCACACATTGATGTTCACATATGCACATACACATGCTCGCACATGCACACACATTCTCACGCACTCAAGCTCACACACACACTTATATACACACACTCATGCTCATTCACGCACACACGGTCACTCATGCTCACACACATGCTCACACACTGATGTTCACACATGCACACACACTCGTGCTTACACACATGCTCACTAATGTGCACACATGTGCTCACACATGCTCACACACTCATGCTCACACACATTTGCACACACAGTCATGCTCACACATGGTCACACACTCATGCTCACACATGCTCACGTACTCATACTCATGCTCAGGCACAATTTCTCATACTCATGCATCCATGCTCACACACTCACATGTTCATGCTCACACACATGCACATACACTCATGGTCATACGTGTGCACACTCATGCTCACACACTCATGTCACATATGTTTACACACACATGTTCACATTCGTACAGGCTCTCATGCACACTCATGGTCACACATGCTCACACATTCATGTGTTCACACACATGCTCTCACACACACGTTCATACCCATGCTCTCAAACACAAATGCTCACACACATGTTCACACGCTTGCTCACACACATTCATGCTTACACACACACCACACCGTTGCATGCTTCAGCCGTTGCCCGTGCTATTTCCTCTCTTGGAGAGTCCTCTACCGTGAGCCCCTCACCTCCCAACCCTCTCCCTGGCCACCATGTGGTCTGTGTGATTTCTTGCCACTTAAAAATCTACCCAGGTGTCAGCGCTTGGGCAGTTCCCTCACACCTCTCACCCTGTTCATCCTCCCTTGCTGGGTGCTATTTCTGTCCTTGTCCATATCCCCACCACAGCATAGCATGCACTTTGGATTCCAAGCATGCACCTTGAGTGTGACCCGGAGGCCCTCTGTGGGCTCTTGGAGCAGGGCAGAGTTGGGTGTGCCAGGGCGCGGCACGGGCCGGATGCCCCGAGGTTGTTTGTTGTGCTGGGCTGGAGGCGTTGGAAGAAATGTCCAAGGAGGCTGCTAGACTCAGTTCTTTCTTTCTGTTTCCCCTCCAGCTCCTCTGCTGGTGGAAGCTTCATGTCTCCCCGTCTCGTGAGCTGGCAAACACCCCGCTTCCGCGGTTCAGTGTTGTCGTTGGCGGCAGGCGTGTGTGAAGGCCAGTTACAGAGGGTCTCCAGGGCTTATGCCTTTCACAACACTCCAGCCTCTGACACTCCACGCTCTGCTTTTCTTCCAGAACCACTCCCTTTGCAAAACTCTGCTTCAAACACAAAGAGCACAAAGAGGCTGACCCTGCCTTCCCCCAGCCAAGCTCCCCTCTCCACAGGTGCACAGCAAGAGCCCTTTGTCTGTGATGGGACAGGCCTGGGCTCCGGCGAGCAAGACGGGCACTGTGGGCCCATCCAAATATTAACTGTGGACACTTTCCGACTTTGAAAACATGAGACTCTGTACTCAGAGCCCTGCCCTCCAGAGAGCACAATTCCTTCTGTTTTTATTTTCCTAACGGAAGGAGGCTTGACCCTGGTGGTGGCCTTACCTTTACAACGCTGAGGGTTTGGGTCAGGGCCTAGGGCTGCTGATCTCCAGGCCCTGTCTGCTTTCCATCTGTCGTCTCTGCCTGGTCCCTGAATAGCAGGAGGCAGTCAGGAGAAATGGGAGCATGAATGCCCTCAGGGTCCACGGGGGATCCAGAAGGCCTAGAACACCAGGGGTCTGGGCTCCACCCATGATGCATCGTGCCTCTGGGGGAAGATTGGCCTACACGCGTGTCACATAATAAGTTTTGCTTCCTGCACCTGGTGTTAGGATGGTTCCAAGATGCAGCTGTAACCTGTGACTAAGATCAATGTTTTTCATGTCACTATCTGATCATACAATGAAGGTCAATTTAGCGATTTAGAAAATCGTTGCGCAACGAGGCAACACCGAGTCATGACTTTAAAAAAAAAAAAAAAAAAAAAGCGGATCTAACCGAAGCTAGACTGTGGCTTATCACCTTTGATTGTCAGTTTCTTGGGCCAAATTTTAACGTCAAATTGATCACCGTGTCAAGAGAGGCCAGGTTCCAACTCAGGTCCGCGTGTAGCGTTCATGGAATCTCGTTGCTCAGCAGGTGTTGCTGGGGCTGGGCCTCCGGGAGGAGCAGGCTCCTGTCAGCACAAGTCAACGGCACAGGTTTTAACCAGCCAGTCTGGGCTGCTTTTACCGCTGGAGCAGTGGGGCGAGAAACTCTATTTTACAGTATTTCTAAAACCTCTGTTAGCTAAAAGTAGAAGCAACACAAATGCCCCTCACCTGATGAATAAACACACACAGCATGGCATCCTTGTACAATGGAGTGTTATTTAGCCATAGAAAGGGATGAAATAGTCATGCTCGATACGGTATGGGTGAGGCTTGGAAACATGACAGTAAGTGAAAAGAAGCCAGTCACAGGAGGACAAATAATGTGTGATTCCATTTCTATGAAATGTGCAGAATAGGCACAGCCATTGAGACAGAAAGTAGGTCGGTGGGGGCTGCGGGGAGAATGGGAAGTGGCTGCTCAGTTAGGAACTTTCTTTGTGAAGTGAGAAAAATGCTTTAAAATCAGTTGTGGTTGTGGTTGCACAATTCTGCAAATATCCTAAGAACCACTACATTGCAGACTTTGAGAAGGTGAATTGTATGGTACGTGAATCATATCTCAGTGAAGCATTTCTTTAAAAAAACCCACATAGGTTTTACTGTATATACAGACCCATTTAAAACAATTAATGTAATCCCATTTAATGTAATCAAGGGATGCCTTTTTAAATGAATGCTTTTATGTTTAGTTTGTGGGAAAGTAAATTTCTTCCCATTACATCTTAGATTCACCTACTTGGTCAGAAGTGGGTGGTAGACATGGTTAAGGGTGTGAGATCCCAGGACTTGAAACCACAATAACTGTTTCCTCAGAGGGCCGAGCGGGCGAGAGAGAACAGCCACGGCCTCGTGCCCAGCACAGGCACCAGCCTTGGTTCTCGTGTCACAGGCAGGAGACCTTCTGGGTGGTAACAGGCCCTCGAGTGCCCACAGCCAGGATTCCTCAGAAAAGCCACTGGACCACACACAGCAATGCTTCTCCAACACCTGGCAACATGAAGGAAGCACAGAGAACTTGAAGTTCTTGCTGTCGCTGCCCACCTGACATTTTCCCATGCCAGCCCTGCTCTTTCCCCACACTCTGGGACCGCCGCCCATCCTTGCTCTCTGCTGTTGACCTGAACCCACATCTGTTGACTGGAATCTCTGTTTCCCCAGCTCCCGTCTGTCCACCGTGATGCGTTTCCCCTGCCCTCCATCCTCCTGTACGGTGGGTGGTGGCATATCCTGGCTTCTGTCACAGAGCCCCTTCCACCACCTCCTTAAGGACCCGCACCTGCAGGAAGCCCACCGCCCTCTGTCTCCTGCACTGTAGGACTCTGTGTGCTTGGACGATTGGGAGTAACGTATAAAGTGCTCTAGTACATGGCACCTGCTATGTCTTTAAACTCCCCATTGATCCCAATCTCTTATCTCCCTTATTATATTTCTGTCCCCTCACCTTGAGAGATAGGCCCAAAAGAACTGCTTGTAATCACTGCCTCCACTTCTTCCTCTCCTGTTCCTGCCACATGCCGTCATCACTTCTCCGTCCTCATTTTATTTGACATCTTGGCACAGTTAGCAGTTAGCACAGTCAGCCACTGTCTCTTTCTTGATCCACTCCTTTCTCTTTGTTTCTGCGACACCATATTCTCTTGGTTTTCTTTTCCCCCTACTTACCACTGCTTCCTGGCCTCTTTGCCCCCTCTCCTCCCCCAGCCTGGCCTCTAAATGCTGGAGTACCCAGGTTGGTCCTGGGCCTTCCCTAAGGCTTCACAGTTTACACTCTCACTGCTGACCTGGTTTCTGGTAATCGGGGCCTTCGGTTTTCATATCTGTGTGAGGACAGGCTAGGAGGTAGTGGCCCAAATAAGATAGAATAGTGAACGTTTTTGTGGGCAAACCTGAGAATGTTCAAAGAATGGCATCCTTTGTGAAAAGGGGGGGCTAGAAAAGCACACAAAGGAAGATGACAAAGCTTTCTTGGCCTGAGAGTCTAGAAGACTTCAAAATAAATGTATTTTCAATGATTAAGAGTATAACGAAAGGAAATGAGATGGAAACAAATGACTAAATCTCTACCTCTAATAAAAAGAATAGATTTGAAAAATACTCAGCTAGAACTTCTAGAAATTAAAAACATAATCATTAAGATGAAAAACTCTTTAATGAATTTAAACAATGAATTAAGTACAGTTGAAGAGCCAATTTTGAACTGGAAGATAAATAAAAGGAAATTACTTCAAAATTAGCACTAAGAGATAAAAAGACGAAAAATAGGAAAGAGGGGTTAAGAAATATGGAGGGTAGAATAAAAAGGTCCCACATATGTTCAGAGGGAGAAAACAGAAAAGAAGAATATTTAAAGAGCAAGTTAAGGAGAATTTTCTAAAAGTGACGAAAGATGTAAAATCTGATTCCAAGGTCACAGGTCTGAAGTAGGATAAAAATAAATAAATCCACACTGGATGCATCACAGTGAAACTGCAGACCACCAAAGAGACATATATGATCATAAAAGCAGCCATAGGGCTGGGCGCAGTGGCTCACCCCCGTAATCCTAGTACTTTGGGAGGCTGAGGTGGGTGGATCATGAGGTCAAGAGTTGGAGATCAGCCTGGCCAATATGATGAAATCCCATCTCTATTAAAAATACAAAAATTAGCCAGGCTTGGTGGCGGGCACCTGTAATCCCAGCTACTCGGGAGGCTGAGGCAGGGGAATCGCTTGAAACTGGAAGGTGGAGGCAGCAGTGAGCCAAGATCGCACCACTGCTCTCCAGCCTGGGCAACAAGAGCAAAACTCCATTTCAAACCAAAAAAAAAAAAAAAAAAAAAGGCAGCCACAGAAAAAATGTGCACAATCTACAAAGAAATTACAATTATACTGACTTCTTAAAAAGCAACAAGAGAAGCCAGAAGACTATAGAAAAATAGCTTCAATGAGCTGGGAGAAAATAATTGTCAACCTGGTATTGCACATTCAGTTTAAATATCATTTGAAAGAATGATAGGGATCTCAAACTTATCATGGTCAAAATAAGAACTCTTATTTTTTCCACCAAACATGATCCCTAATTTCCTTCCACCTCAGTCTTCCTCATCTTAGTAAATACTTTCACCATCCACTAAGTTGCTCAAGCCCAAAATGAGTCATCTTTGGTTCTTCTCATTTTTTCATTATTTCTCCACGTCTAGCTCATCAGCAAGTCCTATGATTTTATCTACAAAACACCTTGTGAACCTGTCTGTTTCTCTCCATCCCCATTGCTACCATCCAAGTCCAAGCCCTCCGTAGTTTCTCTACCTGACTTCTCCTGCAGATATCATCTCTCTTATACTTCTGTAAACTATTCCCTACACAGAAGACAGAGGATCTTTTAAATTATAAAATATTCTATATTATTAACATTACATACATTATATTTTATAGCTTGCAAAGCACACTAATGAAATAACACTTGTGAGCTCACCCCACAACTGAAGAATTAGCAGAATGTCCCTGAAAAAATTAAATCTGAGTGTGTTACTCCCCTGCTTACAACCTCTAACGGCTTACGTTACCCTTGAAACACAATCCCAACTCCTCACTTCACCAAACTCCTTCTCTTCCTGCCTCTCTGTGTTCTCATCATATCAACTTTTCTAGTTCTAGAACATGCCCCAGGACCTTTGCACTTGTGACGCCTTTGCCCCAGATCTTCAGCGAGATGGATCTTTGTGTCATTCAGGCCTCACATCAAATGTCACCTTCCCAATGAGGGCTGCCCTGACCATCTTTCCACATGATTCATGTTTCATTTTCTTCACAGTACATATTACCATCCAAAGGTATCAAGCTCATTTTGTGGTTTGTTTCCTGTCTCCCTCCTCTAAGCTCCATGAGAACAGACACCTTGTCTGTCTTGTTATTCCCAGGTTTAGCTTTAATGCCTAAAACAAAGTCGGTTCTCAGTAAACAGTTGTTGAGTAAATAGGCAAGCCAGCACAGCTGAACTAAGTTGTAAATACTGAATTGTGGTCAACACTCCCTTGTTATTAGACTCTTCTTTGAGCTCTTTGTTGTAGAGCTCATGTTATTCTTCTATGAAAATTTCATCGCAGTGATTGCTCCCAGAATCTTTAGAAACCTTACAGCTGGCATGTTATTCCAGTGTCCCTAAATCTACCTTGGTTTTGGAGCTTTGGAGAAAACCAGATTTGCAACCAAAACCTCATCTCACTCTGAAGAGAGCTAAGCCATTGGGCTGTATTCTCCTTAAAAAGTGGCTGCTGGGAAAGTGATCCAGCACTATTTTTCCCTGATTCCTGTAATGAATTTAGCCAGATTATAAGGTTCTAGATCATTTTGTGTGTTTTCCCATGGGTTGTTAATAAAGCACACATGACCTGTCTACTCACACGCTTGCTTAAACTATAGGTAATTTTAGATCATGAGAAAATCTCGTGTTGCCCAACCTCTTCTAAGAATCCTATGCAATGGCCTGGGGTTCCATGCCTCTTCCATAAATTCATTTCTGTATCGAGCACCTACCAAATGCAAACGCTGGGGCTATATGCTGGGGATAATGCTCCAGTGGTTCTCAGACATCAGCGTGCACGCCAGCTCCCTGTGGTGTTGATTAAACATGCAGACTTCTGGGCTCAAGCTTCACTTTGGTAAGTTTCAGGTAGGGCCCAAGATTTGTGCTTTTTCACTCATATCTCATCTAACACAGGAGGTCTGCCAACCACGCTCAGACAAACACCTGAGGGGAATCGGCTGGCATTTGTAAACGTATGGAAACCACAGCCCGATTCTCATGTCATGTACGAGTACCCACCATCGCCTCCAGAGCAAAACTCTCATAAAACACCGAGGCTCCAAGATCGCCCAAATGGTGGGCGTCAGTTCTCTTCCCAGCACCACTGCTTGTGAAAAATTCCACTCTACATAGCCAACGAGTCTTAAAAAATCAGATTGCTACAGATGTAGCAAATAGCCAAAGTGCTTTTTTAAAATCAATAGAGAGAGAGACAGAGAGAGAGAGAGAGACAGACAGATGATAGAACAATTTGAACAGAAAGTACAGAGAGCTCCCTTGTGCCCCAGCCTTCCCGTTTCCCCTGTGATTAACACCTCACATTAATTAGTTTGGTACCTCTGCTAAAGTTGATGAACCAATATGGATGCCTTATTATCAACTAACAGCCACGGTTTGCAGGCGGGTCACTCTTAATGTACGTACTAGGAGCTTTGACAAACGCTTTATGTCTTGCATTCACCATAACAACATCACACAGAATGGTTTCACTGCCTTGACAATCCCCTGTGCCCTGCGGCCTAGCCACCGCTCCTTCCCTGCCTCCAAACAGTACATTTAACTTTAGCAGATGCTCTCAAAGGATCAAAACTAGCTTCATCATTCATTTTCTTGTTTTGATAAATATTATTAGTCTCGAAGTATGAATTTGGATTAGTCTTTGAACTTCATATAACCCACTTCTTATCACATTGCTATCACTACTGCATCAGTATAAACAGCACCTGGAAGTCATTTCCAGGAGCCCTTGGCTGTCAGCTGGGCTACATTCCAGAGCTGCTCCGCCCGCGCTGTGTGCCTTCCCTGAAATGCTTCCGGTCCTCACATCCATCATAGTCAAGCTCTGGCTGTGATTCCCTCATTAGTACCCAAGACGGGGGGTGTTCCGTGGTGCTGGGGCTTTATTAAAGTTCACATCAGGGCCAGGTACGATGGCTTAGACTATAATCCCAGCACTTTGGGAGGCTGAGGTGTGAGGATCACTTGAGGTCAGGAGTTTGAGACTAGCCTGGGCAACATAGTGTCTACAAAACTTTTTTTTTTTTTTAATTAGCCGGGTATGGTGGCACATCCCTGTAGTCTCAGCTACTCAGGAGGCTGAGGCTGGAGGAACCCTTGAGCCCGGGAGTTCGAGGCTGCAGTGAGCAGTGATTGCGCTACTGCACTCCAGCCTGGGAAATAGAGCCAGACCCTGCCTCAAAAAAATAAAATAAAATAATAAAGTTTATGTTGACCTACAGCCTGGGCCAAGTCTTTCTTACAGAACGTATGCTCAAAGAATTGTATAACTAGCTGTGGTCTAAGGCTCAAGTTTAGGGGGTAAACACACCTCTCCAGACACCTGGCTGCAGGGAGGGAGGAAGAAGATCCCGGCCTCAGCGGCTGTGGCTGGGAGGACAGTGGCCCTCTGGAAGGCCCCTGGAAGGCCTTGGCAGACATGCTCCTGAAGGACCTTGCAGGGGACTTTATTTGCTATACTGACCCCATTGTGCATGGTACCAGGTTCTGCCTCTGGTCATCTCCAAGAGGAGATCTGCAGGGGGCCCTACCCTCCCGTCTCCTCCGACTCCTGTTTATCATGAAAACTCTAATGCACAGAGAGTTTCTATGCCTCTAGGTGGTGAAAACGCTCAGATTCGGTCCTGAGGTCATAGTGACACTAAAGATCAGCAAGGGAAAAAAGATGTGACGATAAACTGTCCATTCTCACAGTTATTCTGAGACCCGAGTGTATGTTTAATGTTTTCAACAGAAAAGGCTGCATGAAGAAGAAGTTAACTGCAGGGAGCCCGTGAGAATTTTTCTGCGCGGACGATGGAGCTCAGTGTCTGCTTCATCGTCTGTGCTCTCTGTAGATACCTCGATGATTCTTGTGTTCTCCCTCCCTGCTGAGACTCAAACGGACAACGCACGCTGCCCAGCCAAACCCAGGACAGAATGTCCTTTTCCCTGTGGGAATGCGCTCCCGGGGCCAGTTCCAAGGCTCCTGCCTGGGCCCGGTTCAGGCAGTGCTGGGGTGACAGCAGGCTGCGGCCCAGCTGACCCGGCCAGAGATCCCCAGTGACTACTTTCCTGACGTGGCAGAGATGGCAGATGGCGAATCCATGAGCCCCAGTTACACCCGGGAGCTCAGACTGTGGCTTGAGTCTCCAAGGAGAGCGGGGACAGCCGTGGCCCTCTGTGAAGGATTGCTTCCGCCCGAGGGGGCCAGTGAACCCGAATCACTCTGCTGGATGGTGCCAGGGGGCTGCTGCAATCCGCACCCCTTCCTCCTCGCATCCCTCACCCCTCGCTACCTCCCCCTTCTCACCCTCCTCACTCACACCCCTCCTTCTCCCGCACCTGGCTGACACCCACTCCTGAGTCACCGTCAGCCCCAGGACTGAGAACCGGCATCCTGGGTGCTTGGCAGGAGCCAAAGGAGCATCTTACAGGATCTCTGGCTCCACAGAAGGGAAGAGAACAATTCAGAGAATTGCAGGTTCCACATTTGCTTGACGTCATTCATCAGCCTTTATGTCACGTTACAACAAAGCGGCCCAGGGGACGTGGACTCATAGGATGTTTCCCAACCTGGTGTTTCCCAACTCTAGGGGGGATTCCAGCACAAATAAAGTTGGCCACTGGGACCCTCTGTCCCCCGGCCTGTGCCCTGTCCCACTCCTGTGGCACTCTGTCTGCCCACAAGAGAGTGGCCAAGAGTGGAGGCTGAGAGTGACCACCTGCCTGCCCCCAGTTATTAAAGGCTACTGGAGAACAAGCCTTGAGTGCCACAGAAAAGGGTGTTGAGAACACATGCCCCTAGCTGCCATCAAAGAGAATCACTTCATATGATCTTGGCCACAAGCAAACTCTTCCACCTTCATTTTTTAAAATAATGACTTTGTTACAGAGATATGCATCACTTATCATGAAACTCACACTTTTAAACTGTACAACCCAGGGTTGTCAGTGTATTCACAGAATTGTGCAACCATCACCCCTCATTTCAGGACATTTTTATCACGCCAAAAAGAAACCTTGCATACATCATTCTTCTCTCCCCACAGCCTCTGACAACTGCTCATCTATTTTGTCTCTATGGATCTGGCAGTCATGGGCATTTCATATACATGGAATCATACACTGTATGTCCTTTCATGACTGACATCTGTCACTTAGCATGATTTTATGAGGTTCATCATGTTGGAGCATGCACCTGTGCTTCCATCCTTTTTTTTTTTTCCCCACAGAATCTTGCTCTGTCGTGCAAGCTAGAGTGTGATGGCGTGATTTTGGCTCACTGCAACCTCTGCCTCCCAGGTTCAAGCCATTCTCCTGCCTCAGCCTCCCAGGTAGCTGGGACTACAGGCATGTGCCACTATGTCCGGCTAATTTTTTTGTATTTTTAGTAGAGATGGAATTTCACCATGCTGGCCAGGCTGGTCTCGAACTCCTGACCTCAAGTGATCTGCCCGCTTCGGTCTCCCAAAGTGCTGGGATTACAGATGCGAGCCACCACATCCTTTCTAAGGCTGAATAAGTATTGCACTGCGTGGATAGGCCACATTTAGTTTATCTGCCTGCCGGCTGATGGACATTGACTCTCTCCACTTTTTGGCTACTGTTAGGAATCATGCTGCTGTGAGTACTTGTGTGCATGTCTTTATATGGATGCCTGTTTTCCCTTCCCTTGGGTTTGTCTGGGGGTGGAATTGCTGGGCCACCTTCTTTCTCCATGAGTGGAACATGCCTATGCACCCATCCCGCATCTCTGGTGTGTGGAGGCCCTGCCCAGGCTCGTCGGTGCTCTGAGTCACCGGGCTGTGCACCATTCGCGATTACCCTCTATGTGCCAGGGACTTATCACTGAGCAAGACAAAGCCCCTGCCCTCATTAATTCCCATCCTGTGCCCTCCTGTGCCGTCCTCACCACCCCACCTTGGTCAGGCCCAGTGTCTGGGTGTCTTCAACTGCTCACCTGCCCCCTATTTTGTTGCCCTGAAGTTCATCCAGACATCAGGGTGCCCTCTTGAAAATGCTAGTTACTATGACCTCTCTGCTCTAATCCCCATGGTGCGGTCCTGTCATCAATGGGATAGAGCTGGTGTGACTGAACCAGACCAGTCAGGTTCAATTTTTATGAAGGGAAGTTGTGAGTTGCTTTTCAGTTGCCATGGACCCCAAGTTGAAGGTCATGTAACCTGAGTATGCCAAAGTGAACCAAGCGTGCAACCGTGGGCAGAATCTAAGGGCTCAGACTGAGGAGCAGGGGTTGCATTAAGAAGCAGAGCACACATGGCAGGATCCAGGATCCAGGATCCAATCAGATGGAGCTTTGGCATCACTCCATGGCAGGATCCAATCAGATCACATCTCCCAGCAGCACCTCATTGCAAGATCCAAACAGACCACCCCTCATTACCCTATCCTTATAAAATCCAGCCCAGCCCCCAGCCTGGGGAGGCAGATGTGAGCGGTTTTTTTCTGTCTCCTTGCCAGACTACCAGCAAGAAGGTTTTCTTTTTTCAAAAGCTGGTGCCATGGTATTGGCCTCTGTGCACATCGGGCAGTGAACCCACTGATTGCTCGGTAACATGGGCACACTCTGGGGCCCACACAAGCCAGAAATGATGTGGCCTTTACCTGCTGCTCCAGCTGCATCTGAGCCCAGTATCCCCCAACCTGCACAGAGCTGCGTGCGGTTCTCAGGCACCTCCTGGCCGTGTTCGGCTCCTGTGGATTCCTTCAGATCCCCTCCGTCCCATTTCCTCATCCAACTCCCCAGCAAGTGCCTACTATGCGCCAGACACTGGGATTCAGCAGTAAACCACACAAACGTGATCCCCACCCTTCTCCTCCTCCCAGGACTCTTATTCATCTAAGGCTCACCTCCCTTCTTGAAACTTGCGCGAACTCACATGCTCCCTCTCAGCTCAGGGCCATTGCTGGAGGAAGCGAGAGAGCAGCAGATGAACCCTTGTGTTCAGGAGGCAGATGCAGCTCATCCAAAGCCCACCTTGGCCTCTTCTTAACCCGAAGATTTTAGCAAGTCATATAACCTTTGAACTGCAGCACCCTGGACTGTGGAATGCTCACAGGGTGCTGAGCGTGAAGTAAATTACGCAGCACGGACCCGGTTCATCTCAGGAGGCCGTTAGGAAACTAGCACTTATTTTTGCCAGGGCTTGAGCATGGAACATACTAATTTCCCCAATGGCATTATCACATTGTACTACTTTTTATTTACATGTTCTTTCTCCCCTACCAATCTCAGAGACTCTTCAGGGCAGCAACGATTAATTATTAATTTTGGAATCCTTCGTTCCTGGCACATTCCTTGAAAATAAATCATTGGCTTGCTTTCCACTTATTCTCTTAATTACCCCTGAGAGGCAGAGATTGGAATCATACTATGTAAGCAGCTCAATGTTTTCCTAGTAACAGCAGGACCATCCCAATGCGCAGAGAAGGAACCTGAATGACTCGGGTGGGCCACCCCGGGACAGGCCCCTGTGGTGATGACGTTCAGCGCCCTCCACCCCACAGAGTGGTCATCTTCACAGTGGTCTCCCCTCACCACACTGAGCACTCAAACTCCTCTTTCCACTGACCAAAGTGCACCCAGGCCTGCTCGTCCATTCAGACGGATGCCAGGGCCCTCTGCACGCCATCTGACCTCTGCAATATGCCAGTTCCCAATACAGGACCAGGATCCGGGTCCAGTCGATCACACTTCTAATTTCACACCGGCAGCCTCAGTAAAGTTCTGCCACAGGCTAAGGCCCCACTGATCCTCGACTTTTTCTGCATAAAGGTTCACCTCCAGGGCTCTTAGAAAATACTGCTGCCTGGCCACCGCCCCATCCTCAGTGTGACGCAGGTTGTTTAGTTCTTCCCCTGTTTTTGTTGTTTGTTTGTTTAGAACAATTAGGCAGCTCTGTCGCCCAGGCTGGAGTGAGTGGCGTGATCTCAGCTCACTGCAACCCCTGCCTCCGGGTTCAAACGATTCTCCTGCCTCAGCCTCCAGCGTAGCTGGGACCACAGGCGCCGCCACCACACCCGGCTAATTTTTTGTATTTTTAGTAGAGACGGGGTTTCACCGTGTCAGCCAGCTGACCTCGTGATCCGCCCGCCTCAGCCTCCCAAAGTGCTGAGATTACAGACGTGAAGCACCGCACCTGGCCCCGGATTTTTTTTTTTAAAGCTCCCCAGGGATTTGTAAGTGCACGCGAAAGACTGGGAACCCCTGGCTTAGCTCACAGAGCAAAGAGCCTTTTGAAGGTCCCCCCTCCCCCCTCCCCACAGTTGCTCCCTCACCTCCAGCCGTGGGGCCGCACAGAGCTCTGGGCCGTTGTGGTGTTAGAGACCAGGATTAAAGGGACTCCATCGGTAATATCCAGGACAAATGGGCTGGCAGGTGCTGCTCAAACCCTTACATACAGATTGGTATTTGGGGAGGTGAGGTCAATTTCCCCATTATGGAATGCTGCAGTTTGAAAAGCAAGCAAACGAATAAAAACGGGGGGAAAAAAGTGAGCTTTTTAAAACTAAGGTAAAATTTGTCCTCAACTTCCTGGCCTTGACTGGGCTCTGCTACTGGAGCGGCAGAAGCAACTCACTTTCCTGCCTCCATGGACCTGTTCATGTAATGCATTTTGCAGAGATTCAAAGACAGGGTCTCTGACCATGGGCAGCTAACAGCCTGAGGCTAGAGGCAGCCACCCCTGAACAGTGAACAGTTCTGCAAGGCGCCTGGCAATAGTACAATGCAGCGGTGGGGGGGAGGGGGGGCGGGTAGGAACAAGGTGCTATGGGGCGGAGTGGAGGAGGAAATGAATTCTGCCTGGGAGAAGCAGGAGTGCGCATTTGAGTGGGGTCTGGAGCAGGTGCATGCAAGGAAGCACTTTGAAGGCATGGGCAGGTGTGGGCAGGTGTGGGCAATTGTGGGCAGGTGTGGGCAGGCGTGGGCAGGTGTGGGCAGGCGTGGGCAGGTGTGGGCAGGCGTGGGCAGGTGTGGACAAGCGTGGGCAGGCGTGAGCAGGTGTGGACAAGCGTGGGCAAGCGTAGGCAGGCATGGGCAGGCGTGGGCAGGGCACAGGGTTTGTCCAGGCCCGATGCCATTAAGCACAGGTATCTGTGGTGGGCGGGGACACAGTGGAAGCAGGTAGAGAAGGTTTGCTGGCGTCCCATGGAGGGGCGCCTTGTAGGCCACGGTCACTCTAGGCCGATGCAAGGTGCTCAAGGTTGAAGGCAGAGGTGACTGACTGTGCTTGGGAGAGGGTAGGGAAGAGAGGCTGCCGGACTTGAGGGGCTGAAATTGTCCTGTAATAGTGCATGTCAGGAGCGTTAACAATGCCCCAGCTAGGGCAGTGACTATGGCAAGGAGAGTTTAACATGTGGTTCAGTTCAGCAAACATGGGGAACCCACTATCTGTAGAGCAGGACACGTCATGGCAGCAGCCCTCAAATGCCGGAAGACAGTAATCAGGCCCCGTGCTGTGACGGGTTCTTTAAGGGTGTGACTTCCTCACCAGACCCATTGCTCTCACACCTGATGAAGCCACCATGTGGCAGGGCTGTGGGCAGAGCTTCGAGTTTGGTTTCTACACGGGAGGGAGAGTGAGATATGCTGGAGACCAGGCCTCATCTCCACCCACGGGACCCTGAGAGTTGGGGAGGGCACAGGGACCCTCAGGCTTGTATGTCAGCCTTAGGAACCACGGAAATCCTGTCTCCCCAGGACTCCTCCCCTGACATCTGGCCTGGGAGGCTGGTCTCTGTCCCACACATGCCCTACCATGGGGTGTCTGTATCCCCTCCAGTTCCACGCGCACCCACTCTGCACTCCGCCCAGGCGCTCCACTCGTAAGAGTCTTGCCCAGCCTTCAAAACACAGCTTGAGGCCTCAGTGAGGGCCTCTGCAGCTGTCTGTCCTCGCGAGGTCTCTGTCTCCCCGAGCACTTAGCATCTCTACAGACGCCGTGGCGGGAGGCGGGTGTGTAACCACCGTGTGGAAGGCCACTGATGGTCCTCTGGTGACTTTCTGTGTCATCACCGTGAAGCTCCAGTTAGATCAAGAGCTGCTGTAGAAGGAACTGGGACCAGGTCTGCTGTTCTTGAATTCCTGACAATTCTGTAGCTCAGTGCTGAAAACAGAAAAGCTACTCAGCTCCTATCCCTGGGAAAGCTGGCTCCCTCTGTGCTGAAGGGGGATAACAGTGCCAGCCCTGCTTCTGTGTGTGTGTGTGTGTGTGTGTGTGTGTGTGTGTGTTTTGTTTTTGGGCTCTAGATCAAAAGAGTTAATACGGGCCAGGCACAGTGGCTCATGCCTGTAATCCCAGCACTTTGGGAGGCCAAAGCAGGCAGATTGCCTGAGGTCAGGAGTTCGAGACCAGCCTGCCCAACATGTTGAAACCCCGTCTCTACTAAAAAATACAATAATTAGCTGGGCATGGTGGCAGGTGCCTGTAATCCCAGCTACTCAGGAGGCTGAGGCAGAAGAATTGTTTGAACTTGGGAGGCAGAGGTTGAAGTGAGTCGAGATTGTGCCACTGCACTCCAGCCTGGGTGACAGAGCAAGACTCCATCTCAAGAAAGAAAGAAAGAAAGAAAGAGAGAGAGAGAGAGAGAAAGAAAGAAAGAGCAAGCAAGCACAGTTGAAATGTGCATGATAAGAATTCACAGTAAAGGCCGGGCACAGTGGCTCACCTCTGTAATCCCAGCACTTTGGGAGGATGAGGCAGGTGGATCATTTGAGACCAGGAGTTCAAGACCAGCTGGACCAATGTGGCAAAACACCATCTCTATTAAAAATACAAAAATTACCCAGGCGTGGTCGTGCACACCTGTAATCCTAGCTTCTCAGGAGGCTGAGGCATGAGAAACGCTTGAACACAGGAGACTGCAATGAGCTCAGATCATGCCACTGCACTCCAGCCTGGGCGACAGAGTGAGACTCTGTCTCAAAAAAAAAAAAAAAAAAAAAAGAGAAGAAAAAAGAAAAAAAGAAAGAGGCCGGGCGCGGTGGCTCACGCCTGTAATCCCAGCACTTTGGGAGGCCGAGACGGGCAGATCATGAGGTCAGGAGATCGAGACCATCCCAACATGGGCTAACATGGTGAAACCCCGTCTCCACTAAAAAATACAAAAAACTAGCCGGGTGAGGTGGCGGGCGCCTGTAGTCCCAGCTACTCGGGAGGCTGAGGCAGGAGAATGGCGTAAACCCAGGAGGTGGAGCTTGCAGTGAGCTGAGATCCGGCCACTGCACTCCAGCCTGGGCAACAGAGTGAGACTCCGTCTCAAAAAAAAAAAATTAGAATTCAGAAAACAGATTTTCATAGAAGAAGATATACATATGGCCAAAAAGCACATGAAAAGATCCTCAACATCATCATCAGATAATGTCAATTACCATGTTAGGATATCTTCACATCCACTAGAATGGCTAAAATTGAGAAGATTAATTGTGTTAAGTGCTGACAAAGATGTGAAGCAACCTAAACTCCTTTTTTTTTTTTTTCCAGACAGTGTCTCATTCTGTTGCCCAGGCTACAGTGCAATGGCACGATCATGGCTCACAGCAGTCTCAACCTCCTAGGCTCAAGCAATCTTCCCACATCAGCCTCCTGAGTAGCTGGGACCACAGGTGCGTACCACCACACCCCACTGATTTTATTATTTTTAATTTTACAGAGACAGGGTCTCTGTATGTTGCCAGGACTGGCTAAAACTCTTATACCTTGCTGGTAGGAATAGAAAATGGTACTACCATATCGAAAAAGAGATTGGCCATTTCTTGTAAACATAGACTTATAATACCATTCATGTGTTCCATTTCTAGACATAGTAATAAAAACATGTTTTCATAAAAAGACTTGTACACAAAGGTTCACAGAAGCTTAATTCACAAAAACCAACACTTGGGGGTTAAAAATAAAACTGCCCAGGTATCCATCAACAGGTGAATGGAAAAACCATGGAATGTTCATACCATAGAAACTCTACTGCTCAGCCGTGAAAAAATGAACTTGACACACACCTACACATGGTGACTCTCAAAAATATCACTCTGAGGGCAAAATAAGCTGGACACAAAAGAATTCATGCTGTATGACAACACTGGCATGAAGTTCTAGAGTTGGCGGAACTAATCTCTGGTGATAGAAATCAGATGAGTCGTTGCCTGGGGCAGGGGTTTGGAGGGAAAATTGCAAAGAGCA